TGCAACTTAGAGTCCAAGGTTGTTTATGATGTTATCCACTTGATTCAGTCTAATAACCCCTCTAGGTCTTCCCTCAAAGATTCCAACTGTACCTATGATGTGAGATGTCCCTTATTACTGTAGGTTAGAATGTGATGTGTTGCTTTCCTTATTACTGTTGTAGTATAATTTGTTATGTTGCAACATTTTTTTTTTCAAACACAGGTTTTGGAAACATTGGTGTACTTGAGGATTAGTCACGTTGACATACAGTCACTTCAACAACACAATGAGAAGAAATCATCTGTAGAACTGAAGATTGAAAAGAATAAAAATAGAATGGAAAAGAAGCTGAAAGGAAAGATGTCCAAGAAAGAGAAGAAGGTACATTTTTTTATCAGATCTATAATGTGTACTTTATGACCTTTATGATATAATGTCATGCCTTGTCATGTTGAACAATTATCAATATGCAGGCTGCCTTTGCATGAAAATGTTCTCTTCAAGAAATCTCACTTGACATCAATAGCTGGTACAAAATGTTACTAATGAAATGTGTATTGCCTCCTTCTGTCCATTAATGCTGTCATTATCGTAGAGATTCCCACAGTAAATATTTTTAAATCCTTGTCAGCTTCATCGAATTCTCACTTACATGACGCAGTCAAAGCTGTGCATCATTAATGCAACCAAAGGTCTTATTTTCTGGTATTTTACGGTAAACTTCTGTTGTTGAAATTAATGTTTTAGAGAAAAAGGGAAATGAAAAAACTAGAGAAGGAACTTCAAGAAACTGAAGCTGTTGAAAGCCAACAGAAAAGAGCAAAGCTGGTGAGTGTGAAGAGTACAATCACTTCTCTAAAGTCTACTTCAAACCCAAGCTCAGTAAATGCTGGCCTAGAGAACCAACGAACCAACGAACCAACGAACCAACGAACCAACGAACCAACGAACGAATGACTTTATTTAAGTTTCAAAGGCTATATTTAAAGCTTTAGAAAAACTAATTGGGGACACTATTTGGTGTTACCTTATAGTCTAACCTTTCATTTGCTAAGCATGTTAAAATTAAACTGAACAAAGCGAATAAATGTCCTTACATAATAAGAGAACTTAGGAAAGAGGGTTACAGCCAAGACAAAATCGATCATCTCTACAAAGCGATCGTTCTTCCTAAATATTGTATGGTCTCCCTGTTTATGGCGCATACCAAGCGGATTTAAATACAGTACAATGCTTGCTGAATAGATGCTTTAAGAGGCGCTTCTCCTCAAAACTTTATACACCTGTAATATCCTGGAAAAGTGTACCCTTTGTTGCCCCAAGCCAAAGCATCCTCCCTTACATTGAGATGTTAAGTACCAGTCAGTTACCCAAGATAAACAAAGAACGTTTTAAAAGTAGTTTTTTTTTTTACTAGGCTTAATTTTAAATACAATTTAGCAATATGAGAAATTCTTACTGTAAGCGCGTTATTTAACCCTTTTCAAAATTTATGTAACATTTGGTATGTACTGTATATTAGTATGATATCAGAAATTACAAGATATCAAATATATATAAAATGTAAAATGGCTAAAGTTCCCAACCTGTATCTGGGAGGTCATGGGTCCAAGTCTTGTTGGGACTCAGATGTTTTCTATGTTCCAAATAAGCATTAATTTTCATCTTAATCGCTTAATCGTATCTATAACAAAATTCTCCATCGTTATTGGTTCTCCGCGCGCCTATTGGTCACGTAATCGGCGCGCGATCACGTGGGTGTCCAATTACAGGTATCCAATTTGAACTTTTCATAATTGCCTTTGAACACCTGTAATTGGATACCCACGTGATTCGCAGGCCACTTTCGATATATTAAAATTCAACTTGATGGCGAGGCCAAGAGAACACAAACAAAAGAAATGAATTAACATGTCATTCAATTTCCTTTGTTTGTGTCTTCTGGGCCTCGCTGCCAAGCTGAATTTTAATATGTCGAAAACGGTCTATCACGCGCGCTTTAATTGCTTCCTTCACATTGTTTCCTACAGTTTTCAAAACTTTTGAAAAGCGTTACAGACGTTTTCACTCAAAAGAAGTTCTCAAAAGACATTTTTTATTCCGAAATTTGTTATAGATACGATTAATTAGTTATTGGACCTCGTGTCGTACAATTCAGGGAGTAATCGTGCTCGTAATTTCAAATCGGCCTCGCGCTTCGTGCTCGTCGGATTTTGAAATTGCACGCGCGATTACTCCCTGAATTGTACTCCACTGGGTTCAATTACTATTACTTATCAAGGATTTCTTACTTTCCTGCGAAATAAAAGCTTTGAAAATGCAGAATGGTTTTTAACATGCAATCAGTTGCCCCAGCAGGGGTATGTTTTTATTAATTTGAAGAAAGTCACACAAACGGTAAAATTAATAACTTCATTTAAAAATGTCGTAGAATTCAAACTTCTTCAGTTACAGAATGTTACTACATAATAACATTGTCAACCAATATAAATTTGTGAGTTAGTTGATAAGAGGGTAGATATCCCGGCCCAACACCATCTTTAGGCTATGCTACCTCCTGTTTGTCCTGTCTGTCTGACAGATGCTGTACCAGGCAACCTTAAGGTTATTCCCCAGTATTGCATTGCGCATCCCTACTGCGCATAATCTCATGCGTGATTAGCGCGCGCGCATTAAAAAATGGCGGCTTTTTCTTTACAGCTGGACCTCGCCATAGAGGTAAATCGTCATTTTCTC